TGCTGAAAAATGAACTTAAACCCCATAACAATGACAAAAACAACTGTTGTTACAAATTATGGGAGCTGTCTGCTGTCTTGTCAGCTTTTTGTATGTTGGAGAGTCTTAGTACATATAGGTACATGCAGGGAAGGGATTCAAACAAAAGTCTTTTGAGAATGTGTTTTTTCACCTTGCAGTGATTTTATGATATTACCTCAACTTAATAATTATTAACTCAACCCCATTTTGTGTCAATACAACATATTAATAATTATTACCTTGACCCTGTTTGTATCAATGCAATGCAGTAATAATTATCTTGACACTGTTTGTATTAATACAGTGCATTAATATTATTCCCTTGACCCTATTGTGCAGTGCATTAATTAATAATTATTACCTCAAAATTGTATCTATACAAAGCATTAATAATTATTACCTTAACCGTGTTTGTATCAATAGAATGCATAATTATTACCTTAACCCTGTTTGTAATTATACAATGCAATAATAATTATGACTGTTTGTATCAATACAATGCATTAATAATTATGACTGGCTGACATAGACGAGTGCCTGAACACAACCTCCACAGCATATGGTATGGAGATTAGTGCCAAACAAACAAACTGATGACAAACAATACCAGTGGCATCAGTGCAGAAATAAAGGTCAGTGGATGGAAGCTGGAAAGAGTCACAAGTTTAAAGTACTTGGGATCAATTATCACAGATGAGGGCTCCAAGGCACAATTACTTTGCAGGATTGTCCAGACAAGAGCAGCAATAACAAAGTTGAGACCAATATGGAAAGATGGCAGCATTGCTTTTGGTTCCGAAATAAGGCTGATGCACATGATTATTCAGTCCATCTTTCTGTAAGCTTGTGAAACATGGACACTCACATTACATCTACAAAGGGGGATTCAAGCCGTCTAAATGAGATGCTACTGCAAGATCTTGGTCATCTCATACATTGACCATGTAACCAGTGAAGGCCACAACAAGATCCAACTAGCCATCAGATCCTATGAAGCTTGTCCACTGTAAAAAGAAAAGTGAAAACTGAAGTGGTACGGCCAACCCAAAATCATCTGGACTGGCAAAAACAATCTTGCAAGGCACAGTGCGAGGGTGCAGAAGAAGAGGCAGACAGAAAAAGATTTGGGAAGACAACATTAAGGAGTGGACAGACATGGGATTTGAAGATTCCCAAAGGGCTGTAGAGAACAGGGAAAGATGGAGAGAATTGGTTGTAAAGTCATAGTGGTGCCCCAATGACCTCTTAGGTTAAGGGATTGATGATGATGATGATGATGATGATGATGATGATGATGATGATGATGATTATTACCTCAACCCTGTTTGCATCAATACAACTCATTAATAATTATTGCCTTGACTCTGTATCAATACAGTTCATTAATAATTATTACATCAACCCTGTTTGTATTAATACTACTCATTAATAATTATTACCTTGACCCTGTTTGTATCAGTGCAGTGCAATTATATATTTATCTTTACCCTCTTTGTATCAATACAATAATAATTATTACTTTGACCCTGTTTGTATCAATACAGTGCATTAATAATTATTACCTTGATTCTGTTTCAATACAACTTCCTAATAATTATTACCTTGACCCAGTTTGTATTGATACAATGCATTAATAAGTGAAGTAAAAAGTTGACTTTGTGTCAATTTTCCCTTCAAAGATGAAAATAGCAAAAAAAATGTCTTATGTCCTGAAGGCAGTTTTAGAACTAATTTGATGAGAATAAATGCCAGAAATTACCTTGCAGTGTACTGTTTGGTTTGATAGTTTTAATGCCATTTTGAACAAATGATATACTGTACTTGCTGGATAGATTATTTGCTGTTATGTTTGGAATTTCGGCAAACATTCTGAGGTAACTTGAAAAACAAGTGAAAAATTTAATTTGTTTTGCTTGATAGAAAAATAATTAAGGCTCTGTGGACATATCAAGGTCCATTGCAAATGATGTTATTCATTTTACACAATATTTTGCCATTTTACTAATATTTTGCCATATCAACCTATGACAAATATATGGAAAATGTTGCTGATGTTAAGCTCTTTTTTTGAGGTTGCTGTTTTACATTGTATAACAGCTGTGGTGAAGCAGACTAAGAAATGTTTTAATTTTTTATCAGATTTCAAAAAAAATTTCATCAGCAATTTAATAATTTGAATAGAAAATGTGCAAAATATTAGTATAAAATGGACTTTGTATATCCACCTCACCTTATTTTAGCCAACTTTGCCTACTCTGGCTAGAGGGAAATGTTACTCAGATATGAGGGTCCAGCTTGGACCCATGACTTTTATGATTATATGCACTTAATGGTAATTCAAAGTTGTTTTTTGATTAAAATAATTTCTTTTAAGGTAAAGTTGAATACTGTTCTGACTTAGTAACGTGATGAGAATGAATGGAATGGGGAAAAGTTCTGGCAAACATGAATTACTAACTTTAGATTGGGATATTTTAATAAATGTTATGGGGCTGCCAATGAAAATTAGAGCCATCAGTTACTCCAATTTAATATAGCAGAATTATCTGTATACAAGACACATAAATTTATTTTCAGTAATGACTAAAATAAATAACAGTACAATACTTCATGAAAGATGCTGAAAGCTGATGAAAAAGACTGTTTGATTCTGTCATGGTGTCAATTCTGGGTAATTATTAACAAAATTTTTATTCAGGAAGTATTTACTAGGTAAAAAAGCATTTTTTCATATACAATAAATACAAGAAAACAACCACACTCCATAATTTTACTTTTTATTTGCATTTGTTGTCTTTTTTTTTAGAATGGTAAACCGCTGTCAGTGGATCAGATGTATGAAGATTTTAGTCAGGACCATGCCAAGAAGACAGTTACCATGGAAAACCACCCCAACATTCCTGGTCCTCCAATGGCTTCTGTACATCCTTGCAGGTATAACAATTTTTTTTTGTTTATATACACATTACAGGTATAAAGATTTCTTGTTTATATTCTTATTGCAGGTATAAAAATTTCTCTTTTAAATACTTATTACAGGTATAAAATGTTTTGTTTATATACTTATTACAGGTATAAAGATTTCTTTTTTATATTCTTATTGCAGGTATACAAATTTCTCATTTACATACTTATTGCAGGTATAAAGATTTCTTGTTTTATATACTCATTTCAATGTGTTAAATTGTAGATTGTTTCTCATATTGGTCAAAAGAGATTCAACGTTATTGAAGAATGTATTTAGTTTGTAAAGACTTAACAGGATGTGACAAGATTAGAAGACTAACTTTGTCAGGAAAATTGTAAGTGACAGTCCAAGGAAAGAGTGAGATTAGTGCAACTGACACCCATGAATTAAATGGGCAATGTCATATTTTTTAATACTCTAACTGGGATTTTCAAGTGTAAAGACTGGAAGTAATTAGGTGTCAAATCCTGAACCCTATTGTTAACATTTTTTAACATTTTTTCAGGTGAGAAGTATAGAATATACAGTGTATTTGGCAGATTAATCCAGACTTTTCTCATAACAGTGATTTTATCCATTGTTGTTTGTTTTTTTATATAGAATCAAATCTCTTGAAGATACTTGTTCATGATAAACAGTCCACTGAAATATAAATACAATACAGTAGTCCACCTCTTGAATGGCCTCAACTGACCAGTGGCCACCCGCTCCTTATGGCCAGAATCTGATGGCACCGAGGAATTTGTGTTAAAAAGTACTAGTCACAAAAGGCCACCCCGCTAATGCAACCAGTGGTCAACATATTAGTGCAAAAATATAAAATTTACCCCTCACAATTGGACGCATTTTATTTTGCAATATGTATCCAGAACCAATTTTATTTATAACGTGTGTTAAGTAATCTGATTTCTGTTTCCCGCTGTCAGATTTTCGTTCCGGAAAGAAGTGTTGACTAAAGTAAATGTGCCACTAAGGTTAATGTTAATAATTATGCCTCACAAGAAGCCACATTTATTCCATAGAGTTGAGAAAGACTCAAATTTTAATCCATACGAAAAGGTAAGAACACGTAATCTGATTGGCCTTATTGCTGTGTTATGATGAGATGTCTGGTTTAGTCACTCAGATAATTTTAAGATTGCAATTATTGAACAGTAGTAACAGCTGAGAAGTGGCAGCATTGATGTAAAATGCACAAGTCAACAGAAAAAAAATGGTTTGATAGCCTTTGTTGCTTTCCTTAGTAAGATGTTGAACTTGTTTTTTTTCATAATTAGTGGTAATTACTACTGACAATAATTGTCAAGATTACAAATCCTAATGGCCTCGAGGTGATATTGATCTGCATACATATCAAAGCCGTTTTGGCTTCTCTCTCTTAGTGTCAAGAAATGGAAACACAAATAGGGTACCAGAGTGACTAAAGAATTACATGACAAGATCACTGTCTTTAAAAATCACATCATTTTGTTTAAATGCAGAAAAGTTGTTTTATCGGTATTGTAGTTTCTAACACTAAAAAATCACATCATTTTGTTTAAATGCAGAAAAGTTGTTTTATCGGTATTGTAGTTTCTAACACTAAAAAATCACATCATTTTGTTTAAATGCAGAAAAGTTGTTTTATCGATATTGTAGTTTCTAACACTAAAAAATCACATCATTTTGTTTAAATGCAGAAAAGTTGTTTTATCGGTATTGTAGTTTCTAACACTAAAAAATCACATCATTTTGTTTAAATGCAGAAAAGTTGTTTTATCGGTATTGTAGTTTCTAACACTAAAAAATCACATCATTTTGTTTAAATGCAGAAAGTTGTTTTATCGATATTGTAGTTTCTAACACTAATGATTACAACTGGATGTAATAGTCAAGATCATAACAGGGTCAGTATGGTCTAAAAATAGATTTTTACGCACACACACACACAGGGACAGAAATTAGCCTTGAACAAAACAGGGTACCAGACAAAGACTGAAAAATCATGTTGCAACACATTCCTTTATGAACCGCTCCGGTGGTCTAGTGGTTAGAGCATCTGCCTCAGATGCAGGAGGTCATGGATTCGATTCCCGTTCGAGTCATACAAAGACTTAAAAAATGGTACTAACAGCTGCCTTGCTTGATGCTCAGCATTAAGAGGTTAGTGTTAGGACTGGTTGGCCTAGTGTCGGGATAATGTGACTGGGTGGGACATCATGCGGCATGATGCCCCAGTGTTAGACATCACTGTAAACTGCCACACTGCAGACATCGTTGAGATATGACTGAAAAATTGTTGAAGCTACGTTAAAAATCATAAAGACCACACCACCATTCCTTTACGAAAAAGGCATTTCATCCACTCTGCAAATGTTTCGTCTGCATAATTTAATCACATGCAGTTAGCAACATCCAAATAAATCATTACAAAACATAAACATGTCATCACATAAATGAAGACAATTCATTTAGAAAAGTCGGTTATTCTACTTGATGAGAAAGACTTGAATAAAAAATTTTATGTTGAAAAGACTCGAATAAACATCATATCCAATAAAGAGGTTATTCAGCAGCAATGCAAAAATGGAGCAAATGGAAATGTTTTTTAATGGTTTTGCACTGTGCATGATAAAACCTGCTCGCATTTCATGCTTATGCCAAGAAAACGAACTAATAATGCATATTCAGTTGAAATAAGTCTATTATTAAAACTAGAAGAACCTTTTAATAATTAATGTTACTTTTAAACAATGATATTAAATGCTTTGAAGAATGTAGCTTTCTTACTGTGTACATTACATAAACTTCTCAGAAACAAAATTCCCCTCTGGAAAGGCCACCTGTCTTATAAGGTCACTTTCCCGGTGAAGAAGAGGTGACTGTATAAGAGGGGGACTACTGTATATGCACAGTCAGCAATAAAAAATGGTATAGGATGAGATTCCAGCCTTTTGTTTTAAATAGGAAACTCATAGGCCTGTTCCTTGTATAAAAATTGAAGTTCTGTAGATGGTTATATTAAAGGCTTTGTCACTTTATCTGGGAAATCCTTTACATACCTCAACATAATAGCTTGGTTATATTTGCTGCTAAAATTTATTGTTATTGTTCTTTACAGACATGCTGAAGTCATGAAGAAAATCATTGAAATGGTAGCTGATGGTGGAGGAGAACTTGGTGTTCATATGTATCCTTCTCTTAATACAAGAAAAAAATATTTTGGTGTAAATTAATAGTCAAAGATGATGTCAATTTATATTGTTTGAAAATATTAGACAGGGACAGAGATAAAATCATTAAAAATTCATGGCTCGATAGCATGTTTTAAACACATTAGAATGGGATCCGTAGGAATGATAGAGTGTTAAGACAGTATTGTAAACACATTAAAATGGGATCCGTAGGAATGATAGAATGTCAAGACAGTATTGTAAATACATTAGAATGGGATCCATAGGCATGATGGAATGTCAATACAGTATTGTAAATGCATTAGAATGGGATCTATAGGCATGATGGAATGTCAATACAGTATTGTAAATGCATTAGAATGGGATCTATAGGCATGATAGAATGTCAATACAGTATTGTAAATACATTAGAATGGGATCCATAGGCATGATAGAATGTCAAGACATTATTGTAAACACATTAGAATGGGATCCGTAGGAATGATAGAATGTTAAGACAGTATTGTAAACACATTAGAATGGGATCCGTAGGAATGATAGAATGTCAAGACAGTATTGTAAACACATTAGAATGGGATCCGTAGGTATGATATAATGTCAAGATAGGAAGTGATAGTTACTACATGAAACTTTTGCCCAATTGAAGCTTATTTTATGCTTGATAGAATAATCAGGAAGTTTAAATGCATGCAGTTTATTCCATTTGGTCTGTGGCATAGTTAAATTTGAGTAAGTGCCAAAGTAGTGTGTCTGTCAATCCCTGTGTGTGTGAACATGTGAGATGAATGTAAGTCTTGTGTTGCCTTCAGATTTTAGCTGTATTATGTGATGGCAGATCTAGGTCTGTTGAGTTTGTAGCTGTAAGTATTTATACTAATTTCAGCTGTATTTCCTTAACGACTTCTCAGGTACCTCATGATATTTTTGAAGTTTGTCCAGGCAGTAATACCAACCATAGAATACGACTACACAAGACATTTTACCATGTGATACAATTGGTCCACATTTTTGTGATACGAAGTAGACCAGAAGAAACTTGGAAATATTACTGATTTCACTGATTAAAATGTATACATCTTTGAGGATCAGATATAATAATTAATGTTGGTCAGATGTTAAAAATGGGTGGGGTCAAGCCATGTGTAACATATGTTCCAGCCATGATAATGCACATACCTGATTACATTAGCACTCGTATATTACGAACTATGTGGGACCATTGAAATTTGCTTGCTGTTGATATAAATGGAGGAAAAAATGCTTAATTTGATTATTCTGGCTTTCTAGTATTTCATTTTATCTGATAACCTTTTAAATCGGAATTTATATTAAATCCAAGATGTTATAAATTGAGTAAAATTGAGTTGATATAAATTGGCTCCAGTACGTTTTTGAAATTGCATGAATTCCAGACCTGCCAGCCCTTGTGATTTTATTGCAATTTTTACGAAAATGTCCCTTAAAATATGGTCTTAATGGCATACAAGCAGTAACTACAGGCAAATGATCATTGCCGAAAAATCTGGATAATTGGTTCATCCGTATTCGATTTGGATCTGGGTTTTAGGGGCACTCACCAGTTATTATATACTTTTCAGAGAGTGACATATGTAAGGTGAAGTTTTTTTGCATTTAAAACATGCATTGTGGAGAGAATGTTGGCATACCTATATGATACTTTGTTGTAATGTGGTTGACATTTCTTTGGATGTTGCACTTTTGGAAATTGTAAATGATCTTAGCACAATGCTGTTGGGGCCCCGAGTGGCCGAGTGGTCTAAAGCGCTGTCCGTTACGGATCACTGCCATCTCACCTCTGTCTGCGTATGTTCGAGTCTAGGATTCGGCTAATGTAGATATGTGAGAAAGCTTGCCAGTAGCTTCTTGTGGGTCGGTGGTTCTTTCCGGTGATTTCCCGGTTTCTTCCTCCACCATTAATACTGGCCGCCATGAATAGCCTATCGTGTGCTGAAAAACGGCGTGAAGCCCAACAACAACAACAACAACAACAACAACAGCACAATGCTAACTAAAATGACTGCTCCCTTGTGCTCCAAAATTAAGCCTGAATTTGTCTAAAGTGTACTATCCTTAGCAGCTATTAAAATAGGGAAAATGAATTTTGCCAGACTTGACAATACCAGTTTCTGAAAGTACATTGAATGAATAACCAAAATATAAAATGTAAAAAAAGTTATTGGCACTTTTTTTTTTCACCTCTGAAGTTCAGAAAGTGAAAATGACCAAGTGGAGCTTGCAGTATTTTGAAAGGTGCTCATATGGAGTAAAAATTACACCCATTAATCATACACAAAAATAAAGAAAATTAAAGGTTCTTTGAACATTACCTAAGATAACAAGGTCTTTATTAAATAGTATAACCAGTGAGGGAACCCAGGAAAATTCTTTTTCCATAAAATTTTAACCCTATGCAAAATACGAAACTGTAGAGCACCACCTTATATTGGAAATAGTGTACTAGTCAGGGAACCTACTAACTTTATATCAGCACCCCCAGATGCTTTAAACTGCACCTATTTATGTGAAGTGTCTGCATGGTCAAATTTTGGATTATATAATTTTTTTAATATGGCATCAAGAATGCAATGCATGTTTAAAATGAAAGAGAAAAAAAGCTTCTAGAAAAGTGTTAATAATCAACACAGAAGAATAAAAAGGAGTATTCAGATTCTTGTGAATAAAAGCCGATATTTTGTTACACCTTACTGAAAACTGGACAATCTTATGGGAAAAAGATAAACTGCCTTACTAAAAGACTCGTCAGGGTTGGCAGGTCTGCTTATGTAAAGTATTATACAGTTTAAATGTGTTCTCTTGAGTGGCTTTCATTATGAAACTTTATAATTAAACAGTTTGAATGTTACTGGACTGATTGCATGAGATGGCTTGAACTATGCTAGGGTTAAATAGGTTCTTTGCCTTATATAATAAATAAGGCTTCCAGGATTACTGCTGTTGGGTAACGATACATTTCCAGTTACTAAAATAGGAATCATGCTAGTCCTACAATGTAAAACATAGCACGTGTTTAAGTGCTTTGTCTTGCTATCCAGATAACTGCTTTTCATAGTGTGTTTCAATGTTGGCTGACTTCGGAACGAGCAGTTAGAGATTCAGGACTATATCACACACTTTGCAGCCTATATTGACACTCTTCCACTAATTTATGTGTAATTAATATACTTATTGTACTGTTTTTTTTCTGGTGGAAAAAAATATGACACTAGCAAATGGACACATTTTCATGTCCTGTTGACATACATTTGAATCTGTTGCAATGCGATTGTAGTTGAGTAGTGTCGAAGTATGCTCAAGTCAGTTCTTGTAGAGGATAAGTTTCATGAACAAAACAAATGTTGTTTACAGTTCCAATAGGCATAATTTTTTGTTTTTATTTCGTTAAAGAATAATATTTCAACCTAACCCAATTTGAGCATTCCTGGCTTTCATCACCTTTCAGCCAACTGAAATGTAGGGCAGCTAAACTTAAAAGCAGGTCCATTTCTTTTATGAGAATTTGAATTTATTACAGAAAAGACATCAGGGTCAGTAATGTCTGACAAAAGCATTATATAACTTTAGTTTATAGAAAAGTGTCCTTATTGATTGCAAGTTGTGTGTGATATTCTTAAAACTTTGACTTTTCGTTACACTGTTTGTCGACATCTAAACACACTACATAGTGCCATTAGTTAGGTAGTAAGATCCATCATCCTCCCAGAACAAAAATTTTGGTTGATGTGTTTTACGTTGTAGGACTAGAATCATGCATGTTGTTGTTTTTTTTATATCAACATTTGCCAGGTCAAGAATGGGGGATTGATGCTAGAGTTCAAGGGACAAGGGTTTCAGCAGACAACAAGAGACTTGGTAATTGTTGATAATTTGGC